TGGAGTGTGGTGGTGGGGGGGGTTTGCCACTATAAACAACCCAGGTATAAAAAAGGATAGGGAGGCAAAGTTAGCAACAGAACACTGGTCTAGTGAATCTTCCCAACCATGTTGTTTCATTATTTGAACATTTTAACTGAAGCTTTGCCTATTAAGTTTGTCTCTCCCTTAAAATTAGCTATCAAATTTTGTGCGGCCAGGATGATTTAAGACATGAACAAGGAGTGTATTAAGGTAATAATAAGAAAGATCCATGTAAATAGGATTATATATGTGATCCTTAATCAGACCTGATACTTTAGTACAATGAAAGAAGCCCCTTCCTCATCCAAGCATTTCTGATTTTACAAAATATTAGCAAAGTTTCTTGCCATTTTAATTTAAGACTTTCTTCAGTCTCTACCTTCTTAAAGCTCTAGCTCAGTGTTTCTCAAACTTGGCAACTTTAAGATATGGGGACTTCAACTCCCAGAATTCCCCAGCCAGGAAGTTGAAGTCCACACGTCTTAAAGTTGCTGAGTCTGAGAAACACTACCCTAGCTGGAAAGTCCAAAAGACCAAAAGACTGCTTGTGGCAAAGTTTGTTACATCTGGGCCTTTGAATTTGCATTTATTTCTCCAGCTCTCTTACCCCACAGTCAGGAAAAGCCATAAGAAGCAGATGGATGGGAAATAGAGTTTTTACAAGTTTTCCAATTGCATTCTGCTTTCCCAAAGACTGGAAAGAAACATTGTAATGTTTTTCCAGATATGCTCCCTTCTTCCGAAAGAGAAACTATGGATTTAATAATCTGTCTACCTATCTATCTGTCTATCTCAGGGTTAAATGCTAAGAAGCTAATGGAAGCCGAATACTGAGATCCCATACTGGGGATACTGAGACCATAATACATTGGTAGGTTGGGTTGGGATTGTCCAGATTTCCACCTTTCACTGTGGTCACAGCAGGCAGCTCATCTGGAAAAGGAACAATTTCCCCCATTTTAAATCCGCCTGCTGATGCTATGTAGAGTAAGAGAAAGGCAGATTTGGGAGAGATTTGAGGCTTTAAAACCATAAAGGTCTATCTTTTACATTCCAATTCACCTGTCCTCCATAAAAGTGGAATCTGTTTAGGGAATTTTTATATACTGCAAGGTCTGTGTTTAATTACACAGAAAACTTAACAAATTGTGAGACGATCTCTTAAATATTTTACTTTCACTTTGAAGGTAGAAAATCTTCTAGTGCTGTTTCTGCTATGGAATTTTCACTAGCAGGCCAAAAAATGAAATTCTGAAACTGTTAGAGCAGGCATAAGATGGGTTGGCATCTATAATTATTTGAACCCAGACCAGCAAGGGTTTTTGTTCAACAATAACAAACCAAAATAATCTCCAACCTAAGTTATATTGCTGAAATAATGTAAGTGGTATGTGTGGGGAAGGAATTCTTACATAAAACAAGCATGTGCCCTATTCATGCCTAGTACTCAGAAAAAAACTCCCAGGCTCAGAAAGTGAATAAAAGCTTGCATCAAGCTCTGGTTGTAAGTCTAGCTAAACAACATTGTGGCCTTGCAGACATGAATTCTGCCCTTCTTTTTGTTAGAGGCCTCCATGGGCCTAGAAGAAAAAGGTAGGTGGGTATTTTTGCTTTTTTGCCAGCAACGTTAGCATATCAGTGTTGGAGAACTATCATCATAGTACTTTGATCACAGAATTCCCCAGATCTTCCAGAGACATTGGAGGGATGGTGGTGGTCCCTATTTCTATATGTCAGCTAGAAACTGTACTGACATTATCACAGAGATGCTGCAGTCTGGTTGTGCAGATAATATGCAGGTTGCTCAGTTGCCATAGAAAGTCTCTTATTTAAACCACCAAGATTTGTTTATTATTGAAATGGTTTCCTTCAAAGCAGCTGTGCTGTGCTTATTAACCTGTTCTACTGGCAGTGCAAGATTTTTGAAAGCTGTTCCAGACGCTGAATTTCCCTCAGTCTCCCCAACCTTTCATGTTTAGGAGGGGTTTATTTATATGCATTTACAAAGCAAGAACTATTAGGTTTATCCAAGTTTACTTAAGGAATGATAAAAAATATGTCTATTTCAATGGAGAAATGTTAGTGTCTCCAAAAGAAAACATACAGGAAATACGTCGAGGAATCAGAAGAGGAAATTCTTTTAGGCACTCCATTGGATCTTGCAGCTTGTGACTTGATATTATCATGCTTCTATACCAAGTATTTTCTTTTATTATCAGTCTTCAATTGGTTACAGAGATTAGCACTAGCCATGTGGAACTATTTAGGAATGCAAGCCGTGACAATAGGAAATGTCAAACTGTAATGGAATAAGAGCAGTAAAATTACACACGGAAAATGTTCATTAATTAATTGGAGCCATATGTTTTGTCTAATGGCATTGTTCTCTGAGATACAAGAAATTGTATTTTTCCAAATAACTTTTATCATTTAGCCTTTTCCATTTGGGAACAGGGAGAGCAGGAAAAAAAGCAAGTGCAAACCAGCATTCCCTCTCTAAGCAATGTGTTGCACATTTGATAATGTTTTTGCTCAAAAGTAGATCATTCTCTGAGGCCTTTGTCTGCCCTCCCCTCCAGTTGCATAGTGGGTGGCTTTAAATGGGAGGACTTTTTAGGGGTGGCCTCTTCTCTGTGGAATGACCTCCCTGGAGAAGATTTTTGAGTCAGGAGAAAACCATTTTTAATATTTTGCCAGCATTTCAGATACTGTTTCAGTGATTTATAGAAATGCTCCACAATTTTATCCTTGGAGCTGATTTTTCTCCCATTTTGTCATACACTGCATTGTTTTGATACCCATTTCTTATTTTATCTTGCTTTTATCGTTTTCATTGTTTTATTATATTTTGTCATCCACTTCTCAGAGAACTTAACATATTGAATGGTCCAAAGCTTTAAAGAGTCACTTTTTTCTTAGTGATACTTACTTACTATGTCTTCACATTGAAAATTATACAGCTGGATAAAATGTGTGAGTAGGAGAGGTCAATTAAAAGTGAGAGTTGTAGGAAATCATGACTATTAGTAAATATTAATATCTGTACTTTGAATATAAATTCTGTAGCAATTCTTAATGCAATGCACAAATATATAGTTAAAAGAAAGAATACAGATAGGCAATATTTGTGCTTAAGCATCTGCACATATTAACACTGTTGGAAGGAACATTACACATAATATGAAACAGAACACAAGTAAGGATAAGGCTGAGTAAGGGCAGCTTTATATATTACAGATACTGTGAAAATCACTGCCTTACACTAATGGTTCCCAGATTCAAGTCCAAAGGTGTTTAAAAACACGTGTACACATTTTTACACATCATGGGTGCATCATAGGTACTTAAAGAAATATAGACTTGTTATCCAATGCAGATCTGGCAACCCAGAATGTTTCCCATGGCTCCTGTTTCCGTAATGCACAAATCTGCCTCTGCTCTTCTTTGCCCTGGCTTGTGTCCTGTATTCTCACAAAGGTCAAGTTCTGTGGTATAAAACTCTCTCATAAAATTAGTTCAAACTTTGCAGAGGATTTTTCAAGCAGTAGGCAGGATGTTTGGCAGTGGATAAAGCACCCTCCTTCCTTAATCATCTTGCTTCATTCAAGAGGAGTGTGAGCCCAGTTCTTTCCACAGTAATGTTTTCAATTTTAACACTCTTCAGAGCCACTGAAAAAGAACGGCCACCCAGTTATTAGAATGAGCAGCTGGAATCCTCTACAGACTTCTCAGCAGTCAAAGAGCAGCAGTGCATGTTCCTATTTTTCAGCATTAAACATGGGTGGCCATAGACCTCTCCCTTTCTGGAGGTGGCAGCTATTGTCCCTCACTCCAACTTTGCTGTCTGAAACAGTTTTGTTTGGCTTCCTCTGTCTGCTGAGTCAAACACATTTGGATAAGAAGCATTGTAAAGCAGGATACAGGACAGGACCCCTCGGAGGCTGTAATGGCTTATATTTTCCCAAGAGTTGATGAGAAAAAGGCAGTCCTATAAAGAATTGATCACTGAAGATTTCCCTTTTGATGTTCAACACAATACTGTCTTTCAACTATTATCATTATTATTGTTTGAGACATTCTAGCTCACCTCAGGTTTAAACTTGACTCATTGTGCTTTGCTCTGATATATCTAATGTGATGCAGGCCACTGGGGCTTCCTGATGTTAGGCTGTGTATTTCCCATACCAGATTTGGAGCACCCCACTCCTCCAGAACAGGTTTTTGGGGAGGTGGTACAGGAGATTACCAATAATCTGTCCTGCAGGTGGAGTGGACAATGGGATTACTCTATGACATCTCCATAGTTATTGAAGAGTTTTGTAAAGGATCTTGAGGTGCTTCACAGGTAGCAGATGCAGCCTCTGAATGTAAACATCACAAATATATTCTAGTTTGTGTATAATATTACCCAATAGCAGCACATACTTCCAAATCGGGGGACGTGGTGGCGCAGCAGCTTAATGACGCTGAAAGTTGCCAGCCAGAAATGGTCGACGCTTCAGCGGTTCGAGTCCA